CACAGGCGCCGAGCCTGTTTGCTTGTTTTTAAGAAACATAGTGTTACTATGTTGTTGCCTAGACTGGTCTTAAACTCCTGGGTTCAAGGAGGGAGGATTACTTGAGGCCAGGCATTCAAGACCAGCCTGGGCACACGGTAAAGCCCCATCTTTAAAAATGAAAAAGAAAAAAAATCAAATGACATAAAAAGCACAGGTAATGAAAGAAAAAATAGATAAACTGAACTTCATCAAAATTAAAAACAGAATGAAAAACTTCAAAAGAGTAAGTTATGTCTAGACCAACCTATAGGGAGAATTTTAAGGCATGACTGGTGGGGAAAGTGAGCCACCTTCTGGGCAAGAAAGGAATGGGAAGAGAAGGGGGCAAAAGGGAGATGTCTCTGCAGAAAATGCATCATGTGATTTTGAGTTTTGAACTTTGTCACTGTTTAACAAAGTCAAAAAGTAAAATAAAACAACCCATGGTCCCACACCTACAGACCTGCCTTTTTCCCTGATATTTCCCTAATGAGCACAACGTAATCGTCCTGAGTCCCATGTGACATGTTTTGCTTTTTGAATCTGGAGGGAAATCTGTATTAAGAAAAGCAGGATGTGGGTACAAATCCCATTGCTGCAAGATTAAAGAAAAAAAAGAAAGGAAAGAAAAGCAGGAAGTGACACCAAAGGTAGAGGCAACAGAATAAGCCCAAAGCTTTGTGCAACAAAGGACACTGTCAAGAGATTAAAAAGACAGCCCCCAGAATGGGAGAAAATATTTGCAAATCATATCTCTGAGAAGGGATTAATACCCAGAATATCCAGACAACTCACAACTCAAAACCAACCAACAATCTGATTCAAAAATGAGCAAAGCACTTGAATAGACATTTCTCCAAAGATGATCTACAAATGGCCAATAAGCATGTGAAAAGACGCTTAACATTGTTAGTCCTTGGGGAAATGCAAATCCAAACCACACCCTCACCAAGATGGCTATTAATAAAATAAAATGGAAGATAACAAGTGTTGGGAAGGATGTGGAGAAAACGAAACCCTTGTGCATTGCTGGTGAGAATGTAAAATGGTGCAGCTGCTGTGGAAAACAACAGTCTGCTGGTTCCTCAACAAACTAAACAAAGAATTACTGTTTGATCCAGCAATTTCACTTCTGGGTATATGCCCCAAATGACTGAAAGCAGAGTCACAAAGACATATGAGTAGAAATGTTTATAGCAGCATTTGTTATTAGTATGATAGCCAAGAGGTTGGAAAGAACCAAAGTGCCCACTGATGACTGCATAAACCAAATTGGTATATCCATATAAAGGAATATTACTCAGCCTTTAAAAGGAAAAAAATCTGATATATGCTACCATGTGGATGAATCTTAAGAAATGAGGCTTGGCACCTGCAGCTCAAGCAGTTAAGGCACTAGCCACATACACTGGAGCTGGAGGGTTCAAATCCAGCCTGGGCCCGATTGCCAAAACACAGCTGGGCATTATGGCAGGTGTCTGTAATCCCAACTACTTGGGAGGCTGAGGCAAGAGAATCACTTAAGCCCAGGAGGTTGCTGTGAGCTGTGACACCACAGCACTCTACCCAAAGCAAGAGCTTAAGACCCTGTCTCAAAAAAAAAAAAAAAAGAAATTATGCTTGGTGAGGTAAGGCAACACAAGGCCCCGTGTGGTGGCTCACGCCTGTAATCCCAACAACTGGGAGGCTGAGGCAGGTGGGTTGCCTAAGAGCTCATAGGTTTGAGACCAGCCTGAGCCAGAGCAAGACCTCATCTCTGAAAACAGATGGGTGTTGTGATGGGCACCTATAGTCCCAGCTACTTGGGAGGCTGAGGCAAGAGAATCGCTTAAGCCCAGGAGTTTGAGGTTGCTGTGAGCTGCGATGCCATAGTACTCTACCAAGGGGTGACAAAGTGAAACTCTGTCTCAAAAAAAAAAAAGGCAACACAAAAGGGTAAGCACCATATGATTCCACTTATACCCGGGTCAGTAACAAAGGTGTTTTTTTTTTTTTTTTTTTTGAGACACAGTGTCAAGCTGTTACCCTGGGTAGAGTACCCTAGCATTGTAACTCACAGCAAGCAACCTCCAATTAGGGCTCAAGCAATCCTCTTGCCTCAGTTTTTCTATTTTTAGTAGCTACGGGTCTCGCTTTTGCTCAGGCTGGTGTCAAACTTGTGAGCTCAAGCAATTTACCTGCCTCAGCCCCCCAGAGTGCTAGGATTACAGGCGTCAGCCACTGCGCCTGGCCAGTATCAAAGTTTTGAGATAGACTGTGTTATGGTCCATTATTTCACTTCCAAGAAACCCAGTTGACAGTGTCCTTTCTGAGCCACCTATGCAAGTTTCAACTTGCTTGGCTTATTGGTGTTGCTGGAAGGGCTTCATTTGTTTCCAGCCACCTGGATTGCACATTTCTTGATTTTTGTATATCTTAAAGCTTTTGTATTGACCCATGTATGAGGTCTCTAGAGTAAGTAGTCAGATTCATAGAGACAGAAATGGTGGTTGCCCGGAGTGGGGGATGAGTGGGGAGAGAGAACGGGGAGTTGGTAAAGATGTAAAAGAGATGGGTGCCGGTGATGCCCACAAAGGCAGTAACACGAACGGACTTAATGCCACTGAATTATATATTTAACAATAGACAAAAAGGTAAATTTTATGTTATGTATATTTTATCAAAATTGAAAAAAGAAAAAAGTGCTGGGTGTGGTGGCTCACTCCTGTAATCCTAGCAGTTTGGGAGGCTGAGGCAAGAGGAGCAATTGCTTGGGCCCAGAGTTTGAGGCTGCTGTGAGCCATGATGACACCACCACACTCAAGCCTGGGTAACACAGCAAGACTGTCTTAAAAAAAAAGAGAGAGAGAGAGAAAAAGGAAAAGAGCAGGAAGCTGTGATCTATAATGAATCATTTTATCTCTGTTTTTGCTTTTTTGTTGTTTTTTGAGATAGAGTCTCACTCTGTCTGTCACCTGGGCCAGAGCGCAATGGTGTCAGTGTTGCTCACCAAAGCCTCCAACTCCAGGGCTCAAGCAATCCTGCCTCAGCCTCCTGAGTAGCTGAGAATATAGCTACACATTACCACACCAGCTAAGTTTCTAAATTTTCTATAGAGGCAGAATCTCAGCTCGGCGCCTGTGGCTCAAGTGGCTAAGGCGCCAGCCACATACACCTACGGTGGCGGGTTCGAATCCAGCCCGGGCCACCAAACAACAATGACGGCTGCAACCAAAAAAAAATAGCTAGGCGTTGTGGCGGGCGCCTGCGGTCCCAGCTACTTGGGAGGCGGAGGCAGGAGACTCGCTTGAGCCCAGGAGTTGGAGGTTGCTGTGAGCTGTGATGCCATAGC